AAAGGAGGGCACAGGCTCTTTAAGGAGACATATAAAGAGTTGTCTGCGCGTTCTCCAAACATTCGTATTTAAGATTTTAAGTTGATTTGAGATAATTTGTGTTATTTTAAAATAATTAGACATATTATGCTTAATGTTCTAGTTTGTTAGATTAATTTGAAGTATTATGTTGAAGGTATTGAACTTTAATTTGAAGTATTAAATGTAAACTTTAATTTGCAGCTTTGATACCGAGTATTAAATGTAAACTTTAATTTGAACTATATCTATAGCTTATTATATATACTATATCTACATATTGCACTATATATATATATATATATATATCTAATACATATAAGTTATATATAAGGCACTATATATATCTCTAATACATATAAACTATATAGAAGACACTATATATATATATATATCTAATACATATAAACTACATATAAACTATATATATATATACATATATCTATATATATATATATATATACACACACATATATATATACAGTATATAATATATATATATATAAGCTATATATTATATAAGGCAATATATAATTATATATACATACTATATATATTTATATAGCTATATATAAGCAATTTATATTAGTATATACATATATAGTTTACAAGAAATTGTCTTAAATAAAAAAAATTAAAAAAATAGCCTGGAACGAAAAAGCCCGTTTAGGCACGCGGGCCCTACCCATTTAGCCCGGGACCATGTTGGCTTAAGACCGCAGTGGGCCGGTTCCACTCATTTGGTCCGGAACCGCCTCAGCCCGGCCCGCCTAAGCCCAGGCTCGTTTGGCCCATTTAGGCCTGAGCCCCGACCACAATATAGCCTTAAGTGGAAGTCCTATTCTCTTTCTTGTATCTTCCACCTTAATATATATATTGTTGTATAAATCAGTTAAGTCAAAATTGCAAAACCATTTTGGATTTCCATTAGAAAAAAGGAAGGAAAGGAAATGGAGATGTTGGGACTTCTTAAAATAAGGGTGCAGAGAGGCATTAATCTGCCGCTCAAAGATACATTTCATAGTGATCCTTATGTTGTTGTCACTATGGATGAACAGGTATATATGTTATTTCTTGTAATTTATGTGCCTTTTGAAATGTTATGTATAGGTTGTGAATACTGATGTTCTGCAATTGTCTTACAGAGAGTGAAGACTAGTTGTAAGAAGAACAACTGCAACCCTGTCTGGAATGATGAATTAACCCTTGCACTGAAATATCCAAATGTTCCAGTTGTTTTGGTGAGTATTCTCTTTCATTTTTCATTGTATCTAAAGTTCATGCAAACATGATTAGGTATATTATGATGATTACTGGAAGTAGATTTTTTTCATTGTACCTTTTTTTGTTTTGATTCTCCGGTAACATTTTTCTAGAGACATTATTTCACAATTTAGCGGAGGCTGTCTATATTATACTCCTTGGAGTGCGGTCCTTCTCAGATCATGCGTGAACGCGAGATGCCTTGTACATTGATTGCTTTTTTTTACATTATTTTACAGCTATAATTTATTTCGTGCAGTTCCATTATAGTGAAAGCTAACCTGGCTTCCATATCTTCGAAGTCAAAGTCAATATTGTATTAGTTTTTATGGATTTTGACATATATGTATTAAGAACAATGGTATGTTATTCGGTATCATACGTATTAAGAATAGTTGTATATTATTGGATAATAGTGGGTATATTATTGTTGATGTTGTTGTTCGGTATCATAATAGGTTTGTCCTAAAGTAGAAGTGGTATGTTAAAGTTCAAAGTTAGCACTTAGGATTCACACCATCAGTAAATTTTAACTTGTGATTGCAAGTTAGTATACGATTTTTAGCAGGTTTTAAATTAATGCGTATCATAGAGATTTTACCTGTAGTTACCTTATATATGATTAATATTTTTTACACCGTTAGTGCACAGAAGTAAACTTTAAAATTAAATAGGCCTAAGACTCCTATAGAGTATGTGGCTTCTTCTTTTTTGTAAATATTCTGATGTAATTTATAATTTGATGGTGGTGGTATTTCAGACTGTGTATGACAAAGATACATTCACTAGAGATGACAAAATTGGGGAAGCAAAGATAGACATCAAACCATATCTGGAAGCTTTGAATATAAGCAATCAATGCCTTCCGAATGGCGTCGAAGTTGACAGAGTTCAGCCAAGCAGAGACAATTGCCTGACTAAGGAAAGCTGCATTATATGGGAAAATGGTAAAATGATACAAGACATGACCCTTATGCTGCAAAATGTGGAATGTGGTGAAGTGGAAGTGCAAATTGAGGTGATCCCTAAAAGGATTTCTGAGGATACATTCTTCCCATAATCTTGCTTCGTAGAAGGTTATATATAAGTCTTGGAATGAGCCTTTTATTAGGTCATTCTAATTGATAAATGTGCAAATCATAGTTGGGATTTGCTAGGCTTTATGTAATATAATATACAGGGCCATCCTAGTTTTGTTGTAATAAAATTACTTTGTTGGATGATGGAATTTAATGTAATCCTAATTTTATGTAATTTCAACTGTAATTAGGCCATCCTAGTTTTGTTGTAATAAAGATGGTTGCTTCTGAAAGTGAATAGTAATTGTACCCAGAGGAGTCGTTTGGTATAATGGTGGGATATCCTAGGATATTTCATGGGGTGGGATATTCTGTGGGATTAGTTATCCCAGATTTTATATGGGATAACTAATTTCACAGTTAGTGTGAAAATTGTCTTGGGATTAGATAATATTCTAAACCAGACATGAGATAAAGTTAATCATAAATTCTATTGTGGGATTTATTCTTATTTCATGCACCAAACGACCTCTGAAATTAACTCTAAGGATTGATTCCCTAGAGCTTACGAAGAGGCAATTCCCCCAATGATCTATCAGAATTCGTATGGCCACTTTTATGGTAGTAAGTTTTCTCCCTTTCCTAAACCTCTATGTTCTGTTCAAACTTAGTTCCTGATCTTATGTGTAATATTAGCCAACCTAGAAACAATGATATGATGCTCCCGATGCATCATCCTCTATGTAGTACCTCGTTTATTAGTTAAATGCATATTTATCTTTCGTACCAAAAAACAAAATCTTGCAGGTTCAAAATATACAAAGAACAAGATAATAAGTATTCAATGATCGTCAAAGGATATAGTGTGATAGATGAGAATCTCTCGACTCTTAATTTAGAGAATTGAAAATTTCTGGTAACGCTTCTGCTTTAATAGCCCTATGTAAATTCAAATTAATCATATTAATAAGTTCTTTGTATCAAATATTTAAACCAAAAAAAGTATTAAATGGAATACTAATGTTAGCGTTTAGGCTTGATTCGTGGAGTATCGCACAAGGCCTTCCAGGATTTTTTTTGAAGTTGGAAAGCAATTTTTTTGTTTTATGTTGGAAAGCAATTATTTAAAGTTGAAAATCGAAAAGAAAATTGGTAGTGTTTGTTTGGAAAGTTGTAGGTTTTTACATAAAAAAGAAAATTATGGGTGTTGAGAATTTGTGGGAAAATTTTGAAGATTTGGAGAGAGATCTACAGAATGGTCGATCATAAGTTCACATCTTGTGAGACCAAAATATGTTGTGCACATCACACAAAAGAAGATGGAAGTCTTAAGGTAGAGGCTACTTGTGAATATATCCGGACGTTGATGAGTTCTTTTGAAGATATTAATATTGTATATATTCTTAAACGATGAAATAACTAGTTCATAATTAGCTACATTTTCTATTTTGCTTTTACATAGGGTCACTTGAGATTTTGTGTCCTCGGACTTTTTGAGATATGCAGTAATATAATAAAAATTTCACGAGGAAAAGACTTAAACTACATGTTCAAGATCCAACTTCAATTCAAAAATTAAACGCAATTTTTTTTTTTCCCGACAAATTTTGCTACAAAAAACTCAATTTTTTTTTTTTTTTTTGCAAGTGAAATTCGAATCTCAAACAATTCAATCCTCACGCCTAAAATTTACTTGCAAACTATCAAATAGAGCAAATACTATAATCATTTTCCCTCCATTTTTCATTCACCTTCTTTTAAGCTAAAATAAACTTAAAAACCCAACATATTTTTTATACAAACCACAAAAGTAACTCTTCTAACACACAATTTTAACTCTTCTTAAATTATCTGTCTTTCACAATTGAGGTGGAGGGTTCAAACCTTTACGGTAGCACAATATATTTTTTCTTTTTTCTTTTTTTTTTTCCTCTTTCGACCCCTAATTTAAAAACAAAAACTCCCTTGGAACCATATATACACTAAACTTATAGACAATTCAGTGTTTTGCTCGACAGAAGCTTCCCCCACAGTAATAAGTACTCCCTCCCTTTCAATTTATCTAAACTCATTTGGCTGGGCACGGAGTTTAAGAAAAAAGAAAAGACTTTTGAACTTGTGGTATAAAATGAGACACATATATTTTGTGTGACTATAAATCATTGTATAAAAGTAAATGTTTCCAAATAAGGAAAGAGGTCATTTTTTTTGGCACGGACCAAAAAGAAAATAGGTTCACATAAATTGAAAGAGAGAGTATATGTTTCATGAGTACATCCCTTTCTATTTTCTCCTTTCCAGATTCCCTATGCATACATAGTGGATTTTTTAAAAAAAATAATCAGAAAAAAAAAAAAAGAGAGAAGAAAAGCACAGACATTGGTTTCAGAAAGCCAAAAAAAAAAGTGATAGGAATACTTAATTGTCCACTTTTAACTTTGTACTCCCTTTAAAAAAAATAAACTTTATATTTTACGATTTAGCCTTAATATTGATAGCATTTCAAAAAGTATTGAAAAATGAGTAACTAATAATAAGGGTAAAAGAGAAAAAATAATTGTCTTTTTCTTGATTTGTTAAAATGAACAAATAAAAATAAAAATATATTTTTGATATAGTCGACAAGTAAAAATAAACGGAAAGAGTAGTATTGAATTCAAAGTCCAAGAGTCATCATTCAGCTAGCACACTGCATAGTTATTCTCTATCCAATTTACATACTTTCATGTTTTTTACCTTGGAATTAATATGATAAAATATTACATCCACAGTAATCAGTATCAACACAAATTCACAAACTGTTGTTCAATCCACAACAAAATCAGAAGTTACATATTCACTCATTTTTATGTTTATTTTTTCTACATATAGCAGACATTTTCAAGCACACCCATTAATCACAACACACGTTATTATTAGACTTCATAAGAAAGAAGAAAAAAAAGGTAGCCCGGTGTACTAAGATCCCGCTATACGCGAGGTCCGAGAAAGGATCAAGCCACAAGGGTCTATTATACACAACCTTACATTGCATTTCTGCAAGAGGCTGTTTCCACGGCTCTACTACATAAGACAGCAGCTTAATTCCAAGCATATGGGATTTATGTATCACACTTAAGATGGTGAGTTTCAATATCTTTGGTAACACTGAGGCAGAATTCCATTAAAGTGTGTGGATCTGGGACTTTTGAATTCTTCTTTTCATATTCCAATATCCAAGTAACTAAGTTGTTTTCACCCGTGGTCTCAACATGAACTGTGAGATAAAATGAATTGTATGTCTCCAACAAATCCCCTCCAATCACTTTGAATTTAACCAACTTCTTTTCCTCATCTATGGCTTCAATTATCTCCTTTGCAACCTTCTCTTTCCCATCTACAGACAAAAATAATCAAAAAAAAAAACTTTAATTACCAAATCCAACTAACCAAATATTTTTCTTTTATTTGTCATATCTAACCAACCAAACCCAATAATTTTATCCTTTATTATGTTTTCATAATTTTTTATAGGTTAATTTGGACTATTAGTCCAAGCTTNCGCACTCCTAGCACCCCCTCAACCTCGCCCATTCCTCCACCCTCAACCACCCCAACCATCCAACCCCAACGCTTGCTCCCTGTCCCATAGTGTTTACCTAATTTCTACTATATTTGAAAAAAAAATATTTTTTTATTCACTAATTAAACATTAAAAAAAAATTAACCTAAATTCTACTATATTTGAAAAAAATAATTTTTTTTATTCACTAATTAAACACTAAAAAAAAATTAAAAAAGATTTCGCTCATCAAGCAAACATGAAAAAAATAAGTGATAAAACTATTAATTTTTTAGGAAAATATTTTCCTTTGTACCAAACACAGTTACCTCTACATATAAGGTGCAGGGAACTGGTAACAATTAAGTAGAATGTTAACTTACCATGTACGTAGTTCCAAAAGATTACAGAGCCAACAGTTCCCCATTCACCTTCATGAATATCAACATTCTGAATCTTATCAGAGCACATAGTAGAGATATGGTGTGGTCTATACCTAAATATTTCATGAAACACATCTCCATCAGACTTAATTTCAATCTCAGACTCTAACTTCCCTGTTAAGTGATGAGTTTCAATATCTTTAGTAACATTAAGACAGAATTCCATTAATGTATGTGGATCTGGTATATCTGGATTCAACTTCTCATAGTCCAAGATCCAAGTAACCAAGTTGTCTTCACCCTTTGTTTCAACATGAACAGTGAGGTACAATGATTTGTAAAAGTCCAGTAAATCTCCCCCTATCACCTTGAATTTAACCAGCTTCTTTTCTTCATCTATTTCTTCAATTATCTCCTTTGCGACCTTCTCCTTTCCATCTGTAATATACAAAAATAAAGCTCAGTTAGTCTTAGAATTAACCTAATAATCGTCAACCCAACCGCTATGCATAATCCAAATATAGTATGTATATAACTGTATATAAGTATATAATCTATGTATATATCGGTTAGAAAAGTAAACAATGAATCAACCGTCTAATTGTGATCCTCTTTAAATACATGTATAATCCAATTATGTGACAGATTTAGAATTTAGGTACTGTACGTTATGAGTTGAAAGAGTGGGTTCTGAAATATACATTTAAATCTATCTATGACATAAATATGTGATCGTCAATCCCAGAAGCACTAGATACTGGCTAACCGGGTCACCGGATGTAGCAATGCTGCATTTAATTCATCTGAATCCAGTACTTTCAACGCAAAATATAAACTTATATGTAAAAATTCATTTAAATTTCAATAAGAGTTGAACCAATAAAGTTTAAATCATGGGTCCGTCTCTGCCCATAGAGCTTAATTCGAGTTTAATTCCTAGATGCGCCTCCAGGCACTACGACCGGTTGTTGAATTTGTTGCTCATCTTTAACGTGTAAAAAGTAAAAGAAAACAGGAACTTACATTATAACAATCAGTGAATTAAACGTGCATAATATTTTATTAGGAGAGTAGTGATTGCTAACCGTGAGTGAAGTTCCAAAAAATCACAGAACCAACAGTTCCCCAGTCACCTTCATGAATGTCAACATTTTGGATTTTATCAGGAGACATGGTAGAGATATGGTGTGGTCTATACCTAAAGATCTCATGAAATACATCACCACAGGACTTGATGTTTATCTCAGAAACCAACTTTCCTTCAAGACTCATCTCTCTTCTCTCTCTCGGATTGATATGTTACAATGTTATATTAAGTGGTGTGGTTTATCATTGTATATATGAGTGGCTTTTATAGTTAGGAAATGTATGTCTAGATTATTTGTATTTTTTTTCCTTAGACAAAAAGTGGCTCTTCGTTTACTGGCTTGTTTGGTCCATCTTTCAAAATTTGTTTATTTAGAAAAGTTTGAATTTTTTTTTTTTAAAGTAATAATTTTTATTTGACTAATCAATTTTAAGAATATTTTAATCAAAAATAGAGCAGCAATATATTTTGACCAAAGTTTCAAGAGTACTTTAATTGGGAGAATCAATATACATAATTTCATATGTTTTAATATTAACTTACTCATATTTTTATCGCTTTTATGTTGTATTATATTGATTATTCCTAATATTATTCAATTATGATCATTATGCTAATTAATTGATTTTTGGTGAAATAGGACAACTATGAATTGAAATGGAAAAATTTGCTCAAGGTTGGGAGAGCTAATATTATCATGTGCACTATGGCGTTGAATTGTGACAAATAAAATGTGGGAAGAAGAAAACTTTGGTTAAAAATATTTTAAAAATTGATTTTGGATGAGGAATCAGACTTTTCTTTTATTGCTTCTTTCACTGGCATGAGCCACCTCTTCTTCTTTTTTTGGAGAGTGGGCACGCTAGTCTCAGGATTGGTTCTTCGTTTTTTTACCTTTTGTGAAATATAACATTTGGCACGCTTGTTTTTAGCTTGTAGTTTCACACTTGCTTTTACCTTATCTTATATATTAGTAATATTAGTAAACGGTGAATGGGGGCGTGTGCATAAATATTCCAACTTGGTATATACACACAAAAGACATGCAAAAATTAAGGAAAGAAAGAGAAGATTAGTAGGGACAATTGCATGTGAAGGAGCAAAAGCAGTTGGCAGCAAATTGTTGAAGCAGCGAAGTACAAAGCAGGCGACGCGAGATTATTTCCCCGCGTTTGAGCTCGCGACGTGCAGCCTAAGGCGAAGTTCGTGGCGCGTTTCGCGTGCTGACATATGATATTCGGATTTCGAGGCTTTTTTTTGTTTTGTTTTTTTAAGAGATTAGAGTGGATTGTGTATAGGTCAAAATTTGGTAACCACAATATCGGATTAACAAGGCAAATGAAAAGGTCGACCACGACACAACGACTGAAGGTCATCCTCATAAAGGTCGATGCTAGAAGCGGGCAGCTAAGATAGGGTAGTAACGGTAACTTAAGTTAAAAAATGGACATAAAGAATATTCGTTCGTATATTCTCTATGCTGTACTTTTTAGGATTTTTTGGGAATGTCCCTTATAAATAAGAGGAGAAAAAGAACAAAAAGAGATCTGCCTGTTTGAGAACTAAGAGATAATGTAAAGTTGAGAAAAGAATACACTAAAGAATTGTCTTATTCATCTTGTTCAAGCACATATTATTCAACCTTTATTCATAAATCTCAAGATCTCAATCACATATTGACTGCTTACTTTACCACGTCATCAGAGAAAGGAAGTACCCAGTCATACAATCATTGGGTGCCAATTCTTTCACACTACAACCTTTGTCATTTCTTGCATTTATTACACATTCATGATATTGTATGTTTTGTCAATCATTGGCATATTGAGCTCACTATTTAATGCTCCTGAATTCTACTCGGTTATACAATGATCTCGTTCTATTTGGTCTAGAATTCATTAAGTTTAACTGAGATTCACCTCGTTAACTAATTATTAATTGGTTTAGCAATTACTGGCTCAAACAATTTGGCGCCGTCTGTGGGAGGTTTTAGTTAAAACTATAGTCCTTTCTAGATCATAAGAAAAACCCATCTCTTCTACGTTTGCACAAACTAATGATGGCAGGAAAAGGAGATGCGAGACTGAAAGCAATAGCAGATGTCACTACCAACATCTTGAACACCATCAATGAAGACAATGAGAACGGGTTGCCAAATGCTACGCCCAGGCGGAGTGCTTCACCTCCCCCTCGTGAAAGCATAACAACTTCACGTGAAAGGGGAGCCTCCACGTCAACAGCCGAGGAAGCACCACCAGCTGTGAAAAAACTACTAGAAGAGTGGTTGACAAACACTCTAAACAACATACTCGACAAATCCGTCCAAAGGGAGAACAGAAACAATGCACAAGTAGACATCACAACAACCACTGGCGAACAGCCCGTTGTTGATACCCAATTTTTCCATGTATATTTTTCATATATACAAAATACTTTCAAAATAACATATGTACACATATATAAGCTTGCCCAAATGTTTTAGTATTTCTCCCAATTTTTAATATATTTTTAAAAACCAATTTATTATCCATTTAGCAGTACAAAATCAATAATTACTCCCAAAATCATCAATTTTGGTTAATAATTTATTTTATTCCCATATTTATACCAAAATATTGTTAATGTAATTTTTATATATTTTTACAAATTTATTTGGTATTTTTAAAGCTAAATTGTATATAATTGCAATTCTAGCCTACTTTAAAATTTAATAGCATTTTTTATAATCATAAAAGTGGTTAAAGTATTTTTAAATTAATATTTATATGTTATTAACTAATCCAGTGCTTTTAATTTGTTTTCAAAATCATTTTTACTATTTTTTGTAAAATAAAAGGGAAAAACTGGCTATTTAATATATAACCCCAATTTGTTTCAATTATAGCCAAAATTGACCCTCCAATTGACCCACTCTTGACCCCAATTGGACCGGTCCAATTTCAATTTTAACCCGACCCCGACCCAACCAATTAACCTGCCCGGTCCTTCTTTCAATCTAGGTCGTTGATCATTTTGATCAACGGCCATGATCGCCCCTTGCCTTTTAATTCCCCAACCCTAACCTAATCCCCTCATTTCAATCAGTTGGCCGCCTTTGAATACTCTCCCTCTCTCAAACTCTCTTGAAGGTTCCTGGAACCATAGCCTCTCTCATCCTCTCCGACCACAACCTCATTGGAATCCATGGCTTCTCAGGCCATGGATAGTCTGTACTCACCTCCCTCCACCCTCAAACGTTTGGGGTTCGAAGTTTTGAGGTCTGACCTCAATGGTGTCCGTTCAGATCCTCTCAAATCCATGATTTTGAGACCTTTCCGGCCTTGCTCCGGCACATCCAAAGCATTTCGAGCCTGGTTCTAACCTTTCCGACTCAAGATCGGACTTTTCCAAGCCTTTCTCATTCTAGGGTTTCTTTGAAACCCCAGCTACTCGAGGTTCTCTCTGATTATTTTTTAAAAATCTATGCTATGTCTGTGCTCTACTGAGTTCTTAAATGTTTTCCCTAATTTTCTTTCAAAAATTACTTCTCTTCGATTTAGGGTTTCTGAAAAAATTTCAAAATGTCTTTCTGATTCTTCCTTTTCTTTTCTTTATGTGTATTTGTCTACACTATGTTCATATGTTTCTTTTCTACCACGCATGTGTTTTTCTTCTGCTTTCTTTCTACTATACATGATTCTTTCGTGCTTTGTGTTCTACTGTGCTTGTACACCATGCTCACATGTTCATCTCGTTGTGTTTTCCTATATGTTCTTTTGCTATCTTTTTCCAGTATTTTGTGTTCTTCTACTGTATGCATCTCCTATTGAGTCCTTAAATTTTTGTTTGCTTTTACTGAACCTTGTTTGAGTTCTCTCTCCACACGTTCCCTCTACTGTTTTCCTAAGTTTATACTACCTCTTTTCTCTTTTAAACTTGTTTAGGTCACAAGCCTTTCTTAAAATGTGTTCTCTATGCTTCAAATCAGTTCTTCATTCTATTTGCCTTGAACCTGCTATTTTATCTGTTTAATTTCACATGAATCCCTGAAAGAAGACCTCTGAGCATGTTTCCGTTATTTGTCTTCTTTTCTCTGTATCTGACTCAAGTTGAAAACCCTAGGGTTTGGGGTTTTTGGCGAGTTTCGATCTTGTGTTTGAGACTACGGTTCTATTTGGAACTCTAGGTTTCTCAGACTCATTTTGAGTCTTTGTACTGAACTCGAACTTCTTTGACTCTGAACTATTCTATGCTAAGCTTTTCTAATTAGTTTGACAACTCTTTCTTGATTCACATTTCTGTGCACTTTATTTATGATGAATTCTTCCTTCAAGAAAGGGTTTTACCAATTTGTGATTGATTCAGAAATTCTTTTAATAAGGATCGATTGATTGTTACTGATTTTTCTTTAATTAAACTTTTCTTCACCTTTTTGGTTGGATTCATTCATACCAAAACACAATTTCTGATTTTTTTTACTCGTTGTTGATTGATTGCCTTTCCTTATTTGCATAAACTGTGTTGCTATCAAACTCTTTCCTTAAATAACTTCTGTGTATTTACCCTTCTTGTACTACTTTGAAAAATATTTTGATCAAACTCTTTCCTTAATTATCTTGCCCGTTTGAAATCAGAATCCCTTAATTGAAGGGAGACCTTTTGTGATTGATTTCGAAATTATTTTCTTACATTTTCTTACTTGCTTTCTACACTATAAAGGGCACGACCCTTCTGCACTTTTACACACTTCTAATTAAAATACTCTTTAAGACCTTGAGTTCAACACTTATTGAACACTTTCAATTTCAATACTCCTACATTCATTCAACACTCTACTCTCTTCTAAAATCTTCTGGCTGTGTGTTTGCAATTTGGCTTTACTACTGCTCTTCTCTTCTTATTTCCCTGAAACTAGTATGTTCTAATTTAATTTTCGGCTTCATCCCTATGTGTTTGCTTTATAGTTTCAACAATCTTGTTTACTTTACTGTTTATGTTCTGTATTGAATATGTTGTTCTCTTTGCATCTGTTGCTAGGTGAATTCCCCATACCCTCATTCCCTTCTATGTTTTGAGTTAAGGTTCAGGCATGGCAGTATCCAAATTGCTGCTCATGTCTGGACCTAATCCTTTAATGGATCCTAACTCCCAAACAATGTGGCTAAAAGGCTGGTTAGGGGTGCGCCAGCACTCCTAATTGCTAGGTATGACCACCAGCCTATCTTGGCCTTCCCCAAAATCCCCTCTATGCACTTGTACTCTC